AAAAAAAAGAAGGAAAAAAAACAGATTTTGTTATCAGCTCGGTTAATCGAGGTTCTACTGTATTTAGCTTTTTTCATTTGCCAGAGATGATTCGGGGTATTAAACTGATGATAAATGTTTTTTTTTACACAGAGGAAAAATTTGAATGATGTTGATGTATGATGTTTTGCTTCAGTTCCTTCCCAGAAAGCAATGCAACCTTACGGCAACCTTGTGTAGGAATGTTCTTCTTATAGTCACGAAAATGTTTGTACTAAAAACCTTTTTTCAATAATGCAAAAATACTGCAGTTTCAAACCTTTCATCCTAAAAGGATCAAAAATTATTTTTTAAAACTTTTTTTAAAAAGTATTGTCATTTAGGTAAAGGGGCCTCTAAAGGTCCATAATGACGTTTTAGCTGACGTCACACTAGCGATAGGATCAAATTGCATTGTCCATTAAAATTTCACGACAAGGTGGATTTTAGCTGAGCATACAACACTTTGCGAAAAGAAACCTTATAATTACCTAGATTTATGATTATTTTCACCTTGAGACTAGCTTTATTAATGGAATTTTACGCGCTTGAAAAGCCCTAAGATAACCTCGATTTAAGGTTTTTATATAGAAGGTTGTTTTCCAAGGTTTTGGATTAGGGTAATGAGAGTAGAATAGAGCAGATTATCACAGATCTCGTTTTAAGGTTAGAATAAGGTTTACACGTAAACCGTATTACAAACCTTTTCAGCTTTACATTAAAAGGTTTTTACTGGGTGAAAATAAACCTTATTTTGCTATCTGGGTTGTATTTATTAATAAAAAAAATATGTTGATTTTTTGCATTTTTTTTCTTGGCACAAATTAGTAAGGGAAGCGGTTCATAAAATTTTAAGATTCATTTTCCCTTTATTATGTAATCATTTTTAAAAGAAAAAAATAGATAATTTGATTTATTCGTAATCTTTATTACTACTGACCAAAATCCTTGAAATGAACTTTTTTCCAAAGACTAACTTAAAACTTTGCTTTGTAAACACATTTAAAATTTATAAACAATCTTCACCGTTAATTAAATCAAGCCAAAAGAAATTAAATTCTAAATGAATTGTTAAAATAATTTAGAATATTAGTTGCTTTTCAAAAAAATTATTGACTTTTTTAAACTTTTTAAATCAAGTATTTTAGGAATACAGTGTTTGAAAAACATATATAATCTTCTTTGACTAAACGAGCAGAATTCTTAAACCTTCCTATTACAATTTCGAGATCTAAGATTATTATTATTATTTTTTTAACCTTTTAAACGCGTAATATCAATCATTATTAAATAAAATTCCGGCAACAAAGTTATTTGCAGAAACATTTGCGCTTATTTATGCTGCAGGCTTGATGCACTTATATAAGCATTAAAAAATACTTCTTTTTTTCTTCTTCTAAAAACGGTAAGGTATTAAGAACGATAGGAATACTAAATGTATTAGTGCATCGAATTTTTTTCCCCTCAATAGATTGACAGAGCACCTCTCACGCGGAAGAAGAATAACAGTTAAAAAATATTTATTTTTGTCCAATATAATTTTGCGATGCTAATTTTATTTCAGCCCTTTAGAATTTATTTATAATTATTTTTTATCACAACATCATATAATTAATTCATACAATTGTTCGAACAATATCAATTTATTTTCAAGTTTAGTGATATGTATATCTTAGCTACCATAGTAAGGAGTAACCTAAAAAAAAAAAGATGCGTATTTAAAACTAAAATCTAATGACACCTGGAAACTTTATTTATTTATTTTTCTATTTTATTTATTTTTAGAGCAGATAGTCTGATATTTCTATAATATATGAATTTACTTTGAAAATCTATGGTCTGGGAAGAGTTAGCAAAACAGGGTAGTTTAAGAAAAACAAGATCCAGCACATTTCGCTAGATTTGTTAACGTAATTATGGAGCAAAAATAAACATTTTTCTATTGCTTTTTGTTAATTAATAGTTAAAACAGGTTTCTATAAAAATCTCTTGAATTATGGCCTGTTCTGATTTTAGGGAGGAAAAAAAAAAAAAAAAACAGAAAAAACGGGCTTTTTGGTTTTTCCAACTAACTGTCCAACTAATTTTTAAAAAAATACTCATGTTGTTTTACTTTTAGCTACTGTATGTTTCTCAGTGTTGAAATCCATTTCATTAATCTGATACTATATATATGAATGTTCAAAATAAAAATAAAAACTTTTTATTAATGATCGTAAAATGGGTATACTTTGTGAGAGACAGAGTAAATAAGTGTTACATATGTTTTCTGATTTTTTTTTTAAAACTTGTTTCAAAAATTAAAAGAATTATTAAAGAAGAATAAAAGAAATAAAATTAAAAAAAAAAAGGTAAAACTTGTGATCCCTTTATTACGATCACTGGTTACCCCTTGGTCAAATGTTTTTTCTTTCTGGATTGACTCCGTTAAACGCCACAACATTTCAAATCATGGGTTGCAAAAACTGTCTCCATTGATGTTTGTCGTCGGATTGGTTTTCATATCCTGCCTATGCACGTTTTTCAAGACGTCACAAAATACTTTTCATTTTCTAAATTCATATTTATATTGAAATCACCCTCAAGACAATAATTATAAGTTAATAATAAAAAGAATATAAAAATACTTTAAATTATTATTATGTAAATACATTAAAAATGCCTGTTAGTGAAAAGAAAAACAGCAGCGGCCACCATAGCAACGCATGCAATGACAACACATTGTTTATTATTGCTCTTGAACACGTTGAAAAGTGTGATGACGTCCAAATAAGCTGCGCTCGCCATCAAACCCAAACCAGCACCCATTTTGCCAATGGGTAAAAACTTTTTTTTAATTTTTTATTACTATTAATTATTTAAACCGGATAATCATAGTTTGAAAAAAAAATTATTTACCTTTAAAAATAAAGACATACCACTTTAAAAATATTTATTTTTGGAATCGAAGTTCTAATTCGAATGAAAATTTAAACAATTTTATTCACTTTAATTACATGAGGGTAAGAAAAAAGAGATCTAGTTTTTAATAACAAATATTCAATTGTTATTATTAATCTTTTCAATACCGTTTAGCATATGCCGAGTAATACAGTTAAATTATATTCTATAATAGATTCACATAAATGATTGATAAAAATATTTTTTTTCTATGGAAAAAAAAAAAAAAAACTCATATAAATATTTAATAAAGAAAAAGAAAATCGGTTCATAACAATTTTGTTTTTCTTGTAATGTGATTTCAGGATTTTATCAAATAAATCTTTAAATGCTACAATAAAATTTCTATAGATTTTAAACATTAAGATTATTAAGAAAGAAATTTTTAATCAGAACTATTCAAATTGTTTTGATAGGCATCTTACGTTACCCAAAACGTTAGTTTGAAATATTACTCTTATGTCGAATACTTTATTTAACGCTATATCAAACTCAATCTTACTAATAGCATATTTTAAATTCTTTGATTATTTATAAGGCATTTTTCGTTTTTTAAATGAATGAAACTTACTTATGAGACTAAAAATACAAACTCCAGCATGCCATATCAGCTTTATCCCTACGATAAAGAATGTTTCCCTTCCTCAGGGATTAAGTGTAAAAGTGACAAGCTGTTGCATCATTTTTATCATCTGCGCATGCTCAAAATAAAAGCGTCTTTTACTGCACGAGACGCTTTGCCGGTTGAATTTTGAAGAAACAAATCCAAACAAGTTGAAACTTGTTTTCGTGGTTATAGTTAATTTAGTTTTTTTTTCTAGAACTTTATCAAATTTTATTTAGATTCTTTCATATCACTCTCAAAAAATTTTAATAATGCGATAAATGAAATTTAAAAAAAATCTAGAAGTATTTATATCATTCCGCTCAAATTTTCAGCTTCGAAATTTAATAACTAAATAAAACTTGGTTTCTAATGACGGTTCGCTGTTCATTCGTTTGTTTTTGTTTTGATTTGCGAAGAAATGGTTTTCCGTCATGTTGATGAATTGTGTAAATAACATTTATCTTAAATGATTTTTATCTTAAAAGAAAACTGATATAAATTGTTCACTAAAGAAAGATTCAAATTTGCCTGTTGAAAGTTTATGATCCTTTTGCCTCTTAACAAATCCCGATTAAAATGAACTCAAAAACAAGAGTGATGTTGTTAAGCTGTGGTTCCTTCAACCCGATTACACATATGCATTTAAGGATTTTCGGTAACTTAATGTTTATAGTTCCATTTATTTAATAACTGTTTTTTACACATTGCCACGTAGTAGGTACCGAGATGGTAAAATATCTCCACATTACTACCTGCGCTAAAATAGCTGCCAAGTTTTAGCGGCTTACGAGCAGTGTCCTGTAATAAAATAAAATTAACATCCCAGGAAAGGACTAACTGAAAAAATTTTCGAATCGTGATCTGTGACAGAATAATCGCCAATTCTTCGTAATTTCCGGGTAACGCCTCGCTCGAAACTAAAGTAAAAACATAGCAGAAGTGGACCAACTTGAAGGATATAATTCTAAGCTACCCCAGGTAAACCCATGCCTGCTTTTCTAAAAAAAAATCGCAAGTGTAAAATCCATTTGCCGTCATGGCAATTGTAATTTGTGTGACAAATCACGGGGACATTTCATATTGTGATCTGCCAAACGAACTACAGTCGCCAAGGCACCATAATTTTTTTAAACCGGAAATTTTTTTTTCATTTTTAAGAAAGCCATGTTGAAGTTTGCCCAGGGGATGGCTGCGACTTTGCAGTTCAGTTTGGTCCCTTTCTGTGATGTTTTTTTTGGGTTTTTTTTTCCATATCATAATCTGTTGTGCCAACTACTCTTGCATTTTGTAGGGAGAAAAACTGTAATAATTTCCTTTTTTTTTCATTTTGTAAATCATTGTCAAGTTAAAAAAAAATAATAATAAATCGTGAAAACCTGTAGCAGTAACTACCGTTAAAAAAAAAGATCAAAGGCAAAATCATGTGAATCGAACTCTTCAAGAAAGGGTTATTAAATGCTTGTTTTCAATTCAAGATTCAGTTGCGGTAATAAATAATATCAAATTAAAAATATAGGATTTTAAACACTATGTGGAAATCAATAATAATAACTAAATAAAAAAGGATAGAACAAAAATTTCTCTAGAAAAGAAAACCACAATTTTTTACTTTTGGAATGAAAAATCTTTCTGCACTCAGTAACATTCTGCTACAATGTCGCCAGGTGCCCTGATTCTGCCGCGAGGAACACCACCAAAAGCCTACCTCTGCATGTTTTGTTTTTTTAATTTTGCAAATTTAAATCCACTTGGCAGTTGTAGTTGACACAGAACTATCCAATGGATTATAAACCTACAAAAGTTTTGAAAAAACATTTAGAAGTTTGTTGTAGGAGTAGTTATTTGTACATCATTTGTGTTGGGGTGTCTGTGATTTTTTATTTATTTTTTCTCTGTCCACTGCTCAGAAGTCACTAAATTTTGACAATTATTTAAGGTGCAGGTACCAGTAGGGAAATCTTCTTTTAACTAAGATTATAGTATTTTTTATGAAATATTGAATTTTTTCTTTCTTTTTGGATTTAGAGCTAGCAAGAGATTTCTTAAATAGTACTGGTCGTTTTCATGTTGTCGGAGGCATTATGTCACCTGTCAATGATGGTTACAAGAAAAAGGACCTCATATCAGCAACACACAGGTGTAAGATGGTTGACTTAGCTCTGCAGTCTAGTGATTGGATCAAGTACGTATTATTTTTCTCTTATTTCTACATTATTAATAAAGCTCAGATATATTTAATGACTATAAATAAATAATGTGCAGTATTTTTATTACTGAAAACGCTTACATTAAATTAGATTTGTTAGGCTTTATCAACCTTCATTTTTATCATAATAGTTTTTTCATCTGAATTCTTTGTTTACAATTGGCTCTTTTAGTGAAAACTCTAGAATTTTTAATAAATAGAGAAATAATGGTATTTTGTATCCGAACCAAAGCCTTGGTATTCGTTATTTATGAGAGGGAAACTTAAGTGACCTAAACATTATGTTTTACTAAAATTTTAATTCTCTGATTCTTTTGCAAATGGTCAAGTTTAGGAGAATTTTTCTCTTCTATGCTTTATTCCATGTTATATAATATAAGAAAACTTAGTTTTATAACGAGGCAATGATTCAACTCATTGTGACATGTTTAGCTAGAAGTACTGTTCTATATAAACTTTCACCCATAGCTACATGTTCTGTATTCTACTATAATATTGGATGAACCAAACCTGAAATCAACTTTAAATAATTTTATCGAGTATTTTACTGTGTTTGTAATGTTACTCAAGCATGTTACTTCTGCTTAAGTGCTGTACCACTGAAAGCAGACTTGATATCTAAACTGATATGCCAACAGTCCATGGCATACTTATGCAAGGATACACACTGACCAAGGAGAAAGTTTGCGGGTTACTTTATTGCACTGATCTGCTATAGTAACTAGAAACACTTGTTGACTTATCACATTTACGTAACATAATTAAACAATAATAATTAGTGTGATTGCATGTAACCGAGTAGACAGATGGAAAAATACAAACAACTAGTAGTTTAAGCAATTAAATCCAAATGACTACTCTATTTATATTGATACCCAACTAATTTGCATAAGATCAATGCCACTTTAGAGTATGTAAGTTTAAATTATTATGATTAATTTAAAGCTTAAGATATATAGATTCTATGACATGGATAGACTATTTATGACCCAAAGGCCAAAATTTATGACTTAAACTTGGAACAATTTCAAATATTAATAAAATATATAAAAGAAAAACTAATGAAAAAAACTATAAAAATTTAACTATATTAGTTAATTTTTTTTTACTGGTCAATCTGCTTTTTTATTTACTTTCACTTATTGTCCTAGTGCAATTCTTAACTTGATTATAACCATTCCTTTTTCCAAGTACTATTTATGTTATGAGTTTAGTACTTGGAAGAAAATAGAATTTCCTATGAATTTTACGCATTATTATCAGGGTTCCCAAGGTACTTGAAAAACCTTGAAAGTCCTTGAATTTGGTTGAAAAAAATCAGGGCCCCAGAAAGTCCTTGAATTCTGCCATAGGGTACTTGAAAAGTACTTAATTTTTTAGAAATTAAAATACTAATTTTTCTCGCAAAAAAGTAATGAAAAAAAATATATAAATTCAAAGGAAAATTATAGAAATTCTAATTATGCAATTTTTAATGCTTGAAGTGAAAAGGGGTTAAAGAAGATGCAAAACTTTTCTCTCCTGCATTTTTCAGACCAGATTGTTGTTCATATCTCAGATGTTTTGAAAGCTGAAATTTCTAGCAAATTTTAGGTTTTTTAGTCATGGTTTTGCAAATGATATATAGGGTTTAATTGATTTATAAACATGTTTAATGTGTTGACTTCATTATTACGACAGGTTAAAATTGTTGTCCTATTTGTTCTTTTAATTTATGTAAGAAGGATAATTAATTTTGTATCATTTACAATCAAATTTTTACATTCAGTTTTTACTGCTAATAAATAAAGTTTAGTCCTACAGGTTTCATTGATTATGAATAATAATCGTGATTCACATTAAACTGATTCTTGATTTATGGATCAGAAATTCACATAAAATGTTCTACGAATTGTGGTTTAGTGATCAATGAATCACATATTGAATATTACTTTAAAGTGATTTGCAAATTACTCATCAGGATTTGTATTAAGGTATTTTATAAATCATATCATGATTCACATTAAAGTTATTTATCAATTATGCCTCACGATTCTTATTCTAGTAGTTACAAATCACGCATTGCGATTCACAAAAGAGAGATTTAAGAATTACCACCCACAATTCTCATCAAAATGATTTTAGAATCACACATATCTGTCCTATATTAAGCACCTTTCGAAACACAAATTGCAATTTGTGAAAATTAGGCATATTCACAAAATTTTAATTTTATGGATATATTTTAAAGAAAATAAAGCTTGGTAAGTCTTAGTTATCTGTAAAATATTGTTCTACTATAGATTTTATTATGCTCAAAATACATTACTGATATTCTTAAGTAAGAACATAGAAAATTTGATATTAAAATTGAAACAGATATGTTAAATAGATATATTTTGATAATTTATCTAATTATATACATTTCCTGTATCCTAAAATTTGATCTAATATATTAAAAAAAGTATTTATATTTTAAAAACTGTGCAATTACACAAACTTTATCAATTATTTACTCTGCTTCTTTAATGTAATATGCATTACTCATTCATTTAGTTTCATTAATTCTAATTCATTTGTCATGATAAAGTTTCACTGATGCTAGTTTTAAATGTTGGCTAGTATCCTGTGTCAATTGGAGTTTTTTTTTGTTGGTCAATTGGAATTTTTTATAGTAATTTGAAACAGCAATGTAACTGTCAACCATTCGTATTATTAGCTGATAAATTTAATAAATAATTTTTTGTTGTTGTCAAATAAGCATTATGATTTAAAAATATACAATTTCTGCTTCTACGTAATTGTAAAATCTTGTTGACATGTACTTTAGCGTATAACAATAATATCGAATAGGTCCTTGAAAATTATGATTTTAGGTCCTTGAAAGTCATTGAAAAGTCCTTGAATTTTTTTTGAAAGATTGAGTGGGAACCCTGAATGTACATTACACTTTATATTAGGTCTAAAATACTCATAATATTTTTACAATTACTGTTTTATCTTATTTAGGTTGGCCCTCTAGATAGCATTTTTTTGTTTTTGCGGCCCGTTATCAGAAAATAGTTGTATATCCCTGTTCTATTTTATGATGTTGTATAAAGATACATTATGTTGCATTTAGCAATTGAAACTAGAAATGAAAAGCAATCCTTGTACCAAAAATAGTTTAATATATTTTTTTTTTTTTTGCGTGTGTGCTGTAAAATGCCCTAAAGACCAAACTAAATAAAGTGGACAACTTCCAAAGTGTGAAATCTTACAGTAATAGTTCAAAAATTTGAGTAAAGATTGCGCTGGTTGATTGTGCAATGCCCGGTGATCTGGAGAGCATCCTAACTGCCATCGGCAATAATGGTCTCGTCATTCTGCTCATGTACAATAAAATAAATAATAATAACAATAAAAATAACAAATAATTTTCTGATAAAAATAACAATAATATTAAGATGGCACAGGGAATAGAGCGTTTGCCTTCCAATGAGGTGAACCTGGCGATGGCTGTTCAATACGAATTCCGCATCCGGCTTGCACTGACCACAATGATAATGTGAAATATCCTTAGTGGTAGGCGGATCATGGGTTAGAATCCCCTTGCCATCAGGTTAACCATGGGAGGTTCTCTTGGTCTTCCTCTCCATGTAGCGCAAATACGGGTTAGTTCCATCAAAAAGTCCTCCATGAAGGCAAATTTATCCCAATACTTGATCTAGGAGCTCCATTGTCTTCTGGGTTGGGTTCAAAATTACAAGGCTACATAGTTGAATATTAGTAGTCGTAAACCCAGAAATTGGATTGGCTGTTCATAGACGGTTATAAAATAAAATATAAAATAATGTAAAAAAGATGTTTAAAAACTAAATGTGAAGGAGTTATGTTAATATGTAAGGTGTTGTTGGCTATGAATCCTGAAAGAGGGAAACGGAGAACACCCTAAGTTCCAGATGCGAGTATTTTTAATTTCTCCTGAAGAAAAAAAAAATTTTGGACTTAGATCATTTTTCATTACTAGTTCTCAATTTAGCTCGCCGGTGATAAACCACATGAACACCCAAAAAGTGTGTAAGCAATCAATTCACAGATCAAAGTACCTGATGTTGTCGATGGACAACCTTCATTCTGTTGTAATATTAATGTTAATGTGAATTTCTATTATATATGATTTATTGAAGTATGATGCAGACGTGATTGTTGTTTTCATTGATAGGCTAGATTCGTGGGAGAGTGCTCAAGATGATTGGACACCTACAGCAAGAGTAATGGAACACCATCAGACCATTTTAAACAAAATCACCAACTCTAATAATACATCAGAATCTGTTGCGAAAAGACAAAAGCTAGATGTCAATAACTTAAATTGTGAGTACTTATTTTTAAAAAACCATTTACTATTTGTTATATTGCATAAATCTAGATATGTTGCTTTTTTATGTTGCCCAAAAGAAATAACATTCAAAATATTTTTTAATTTTAAAAGTTTTAGGAAATCATACCCAATGGTCTAATTGGAGATTATAATTTTTAGGTACAAAGATTTTTTATATACTACACAGTTAAATGTTTCTTAAAAATAATTATAGGAATTAAAAACTTTTGCATTCAAAGGTATTACTCTTTATTGTTGGCATATGAGTAAAGTAACAATAAAATTAAGTCTTATTGTGTATTGAATAGTATATTAATGAGTTGGAACTATTTTGCCTGTCCATTACTTTTTTTGTTAATTGGCACTGACTTTCAGGCTTATTGTGCTTTCTCTTATCCCCTGATAAGCATTGTATGGCGAGGGGTTGTGGTATATTGTTATTTTCTAATATTATTAAAATTCAAATATATCTTTGTTTATTTTCTTGTTATATGTTACGGACGGGGAGTGTCGATGAAGCTTCAAAGCAGTCTAGGGTTGCATTNTTATTTTCTTGTTATATTTCATCAAACCCATGACTATCATTTTTTATTTTGTTTTCAGATTGTAATTATTGAAATATTTTTTTAGAATGATAGGTTTATATGTTTACTTTATATAATAAATATATCAGAGTTTAAATGACTTTTTTTGAAATTATTTATATTGAATACCTCATAAATGCTCTCATAATATTTCTGTAATATCTTTTAAATTAAAGAGTTGGGTATTACCAAATTCAACAGAGATCTCCCAGATATAGTGAAATATTTTTTAGAAATTCAGAGGTCGCAAATGTGTGATGATCCTCAGATATTTTGGATACTGTAACATTCTCATCATGTCCTTGAGATATCGGACAAATGTAGATTATAAATCACAGATATGCAAGGAATATCCAGTACTTAACATTTATACCAGTGGTTACAAACTGGCGGCCTGCAAACTAAAATATATTGTTGTTTTTTGTGGGCAATTTTCAGAAAAAATCTATATGGGTTTAAAATACTTTTCATTCGTTTAAAGTTTCACTAATTTCTTTGTTTCTGAGAAATTTAACATAACAACGGTGCAAAAAATTTATTTCTCCCGTTTTGCATCCACGAAAATATTTATTCAAATACAAAAATAATCGTGTATGTTGCTCTCTTCTATTTTTTTTTGTATTTTGTGAATATAATTTAGCATGTGCGTATCAGAAATTTTCTCGAAGAAATTCTCCCATTTAACTTTTTGAAACCACTCATTTTGTACAAAATTATTTTCATTTGTAAATTTTAAAATGCATAAAAGAAGAAGAGGAAAAAAAAAGAGCAGAATGGCATGAGCGGAAGAGAAAAAAGAAATTAATTTCAGATGCTCGACAATTTTTGTTGTTGTTGCTATAATTCCTAAAAAGTCGAAAGAAATGGTTATTTATCACAGAGTTAAATTTAAAAGAAAAAAAAATCTTGTTACTAAGTTTCTGAGTGAGAGAAGATTCAAAATGATACGTAACAAGCATTATTTGTTATACTTATTATTTTGCTTTTTAATATTAAAAAGATTTTTTCTAAAAATCTGACAGTAATATTTAATTCAAACATAAGAGTCATAAACAAACATAAGAGTCCTATATAAAATTTTGATAAAGTCGCGGCCCGCCATTTAACTGGTGTTTTTCATAGCGGCCCCCGGCCTCATGTAAGTTGGAAAGTCCTGATTTATATCCAAGAAACATCCGCCAGACATCAATTTGTATATAATATTTGGATATCTCGAGAGCATTCATTGAAGAGATATCTTAGTCCTTTTGAAGAGATATATTAGTCCTTGAAGCAAAAACAAATTTAATGGTCTAATATGAAGAATATATTTTTTCCTTTCCGGAACAGCAAACTTCGATTGAAAATTATAATAATGTAGGACATTAGTTAGTGCAACTATAGACAGTATATTCTAAAAAAGAAAATATCTGAAATTCAACTAGTTTCTACATGAGACTTCTGACAAGTGGAAGAGAAAACTATTTTAAAAATTAATTTTTGAAATTAAAAATTGCTTAAAATTTTTATTTATTTATTTATAATTGCTTTTTGGTAACTTGCAGCTATTAATAACAATGATTTTAATAACACCTGGGACTTAAGCCAACCTGTACGTATAATGTTGCTGTGTGGTGGCGATATGCTTGAATCATTTGCTGTACCAGATTTGTGGGAACAATCAGATGTAAGTTCATTTCTTAAAATATTTTTATTGCTATATACTGTTTTATTGTATTTAAATAAAAGTTTTGAGTCGGCTTTACATTTTTTAATGCTATAATTTTAGATGAAAAATTCAGTAAAATTAAATAACTTTTTATTTATTTCAATTGAATAAATAAGTTTTTATTTTAATAAAATAATTAGTTTAATAAAATAATTAGTTTTTGCTCTAATGTCAGTGATTCTGCTGGAGTTGAGAAATTACAAATCATTGGGATTTATATACTTCTGCAACCTTTTTTTTACTAAAAGTGGATTGCTATTTGAAATATGAGTTCTCATCCTCTATACCCATCTATTACTATTCCAGGGTGCTTGTCATTTTTTAAAAGTGCTTATTTTTTATTTACATTTTTTAAAAACCCTTAAAGGTGCTTTTTTTTATTCTGGATTTGTAAAAAGTGCTTAATTTTTTATCTTTTAATAAGAGAATTTTTTTCTTTGCCGTGCTGATTGTCGTTCTAAAATACAAAGAAATGCATGATTTTCACAATTATCTCTGCAATATTTATCAGACACTAGTTATTGTTATCATGATTATATGAAGTTTGTGTTAGTGTTTTTGAATTGTATTGATTTTATGTTTATAAATTATGAACTTTAAACAATAGAAAAAATTATGAATTTTTTATTATTTTTTGGAAAAGTGATTAAAAATATTTTTTGAGTGCTTAAAAAATATTTGCAAGGTGCTTATTTTTTGTTGAAAAATCTGGCTATGCACCCTGCTATGTTAATCTGCCTGCATGCTATTCCTCCTTACTTGAAAATTACGCATCTTCTTCATTGCGTCATAATTTATTTTTCGTGTCCTTAAGGATTTTTGATGCATTATAGCCTGTAAATGGAATCGCTGAGTGTGCAAAATTATTTTTTTTTAGATAGCTTGAAATTGATTCTTTCTTTATCAAAAATAATTTCTCTGTTTTGCATGCATTAATTGAATGTAAGACAATAGAAAAATATGCAATCTATATAATATATATAGTTTCAAAGAGGCAAAGTTCAAAAGGCAAAATATGTTATAGCACAATTGGGATGTTGCCTTGGTAAAAACTGCAGTACATTTTATCTTAGATTTATAGAGATATATTTTTAATTTGTAATATTCTCTCTTTTCATTTTTTATAAAATAAATAATCTGAGATCAAAAGACATCATTCAGAGCAATGAGAAAAGCAGATTTTACGAATGCCCTGATCAACTGTTATGTTATGAAAAACATATTAAATATTGCATATGAAGTTTTTTAAAAATCAATTTTTTTTGTTTTTACAGATTGAGAAAATTGTAGGAAAACATGGTCTTGTTGTGATAACTAGGAGCGGTTCTAACCCTGAACGCTTCATATATGAATCTGATACATTAACCACTTTTCGAGTTAGTAAGTTTGTCATACTTTAATATTAAAATATCTAAATATGTAATCATAATAGATGTTTTAATTTATGCAATTGTCAAGTAATGTGTATCATAATCTAGTTGTATTTTAAAATTTATATATATTAAATATTTAGTCAAATATTTATGTCCTTTAGAGAGTTTATCTAAAAAATTATTGAATATATATGTTTGTAATATATATGATCTGAAGAAAATTGTCATAGTTAAGCTTTATTTTAAATCTGTAAGAAATATACCTTTAATTTAGGATTCCAATGGTACTTAAAAAAGCCTTGAATCTTATTGGAAAATATCAGGGCCCTGATAAGTCCTTGAATTAATGCCCATGAACATTTTTTGATTTTCAAATTAATAATATCCTTTTTATATAAAAGATGGGGAAAAAAGGTTCAAGCAAAATTATGAAAATTTTGATCACTCCTCCCTCTTCCCTTTCTTTTTGTCGTTTTCCTTACTGAAGAATAGTTCAAAGTCAGATAAGTAAGGTGGTAGCCTAGGAGTCTGATATAAATTTAGAAAAAGACCCGTATCCTTCAAAATACAAACAAGGTGTGAAGAAACCAATAATGAAAAGAAAATATAAAACTAAGTTATGTCTAGTATTATCCACTTTTAACCACATGTAGCCTGCACTTCTTTTTAAACATGTATGGTCTCGATTTGAAGAGAAAGAAATTCATCTCTTCATTCAATCACATAATTTTTGAGAAACTTTTATGCATAAATTCTTAACTGTGAAAGGAAAATACATAATTTTCCTCTCCTATGTTTTTCTCGCCAGATTATCGTTCACCTTCATGTTTAGAAAGTTGGAATCTCTAGTAAACAATTTTAGCTTTTGTACTTAGTTTTAGTTTCCGCTCAACATGTAGTCTATCTTCAAATTTTAAATATAACCAATGCATTAACTTCATTAATGGCAGATTTATATTGTTATCATTAATACTTAACTATTTGATCTTTTCATTTTCAATAATGATCAATAATTTTTTATTCAGATTTGTACAATTTTTATTACAAATACGTGATTTAGTTCTTCAGATTCCTTGAATTATGAATTAAACATTCATATGAAAGTGATTAGTATAATAGTGATGTATGGATCATCTTATTAATGTGATTTGTAATAAATAATGTGATATGTTACTTGTAAGAATAATTTAATGATTTTATTGAATATTGTTTTTTAATGTAATTATATTTCAGAAATTAAGTATGAGTGTATATTTAACATATATATTTTTATTTATTACGTAAAATATTACATGGTTCCATAATTAAGTAAAACTTTGAAATGTATAGGTATTAGTTTTATAGAAAGAAATGATGTATTTTTTTCTTTTACAATTAATTTCATTTATATTTTTTAACTAAAAAATTAACAAAAATTGTTCTAGATAGATCACTGCTTATATCTTTTTCTTATGTATCATTTGTTAATAAGTGAATTTTTAACCTATGTCTCCATTTATATTCACCTTTTGTATATTTTCCAAATAAAATATTTTAATTAAAGTCTTATAATGAATTAACAGAAATTATTGTAAGAACTTCCTATTTTAAAACAATATTTGCCGACTAGTGTTTCTCAAAAGGAGCCATGTTTCCTTGTGCACTAAATTATATTCTCTTGTGTTCTTGAGATAAAATTAGATGAACAAACTTTTAAATAAATGCTTTTATAAAAATATTTGTTTTCTCTTTTAAAAAAAAAAGAATTTTTGATTAAGAAATAAGAAATGTTTTTAAAACTTCTTAGCTTGATTTAAAATATTGTTTGTTAATTGAGAACATCATTTTATAGCTGCTAGCATTAGTAACTGACAGGATAACTTGAAGACAAGTCTTTTAGTCTTAGATCTCGTTATAGTTTTAAAGTTATTTTGAAGATTAAAAATAACTATTGTACTTATTCCCTATACAAAATAAGGATTTATAAGGAGGAGAATAAATTTTATTTCTATTTAATTTAATAAGGATTGGTTTTGAAGTTATATTTCTTTTTAGTTTAATGAGGATTTCATCTAGATTTTTTATTTAGTTTAATAATTATTCTGTTTAGATAATATTTATATTTAGTTTAATAAGGATTCTATATTGATTAAATTTCTTTTTAGTTTGATAATGATTCCATTTTGTTTAATGCGGATCAATGATTAAATCCTAAATATGCCCAGTTTTAAGTCATGTTAGATATTTCTATCAGACTCAGGGTGTGCTGTCAACATAACTTAAAACTGATTTTTTGTTACTTCAGCTTTAGATATATTGTTTAGTTTGATTTTTGAGATTCTATTTCGATTGAATTTCTTTTTAGTTTGATAATGATTCCATTTTGTTTAATGCGGATCAAAGATTAAATCCTAAATATGCTCCGTTTTAAGTCATGTTAGATATTTCTATCAGACTCAGGGTGTGCTGTCAACATAACTTAAAACTGATTTTTTGTTACTTCAGCTTTAGATATATTGTTTAGTTTGATTTTTGAGACGCAAGTGATTATTTTTTTATTAATTGATTGATGATTTATGAATAGTTAATTGATTGATGACTTAAAATTGATTTTTTTAAAACCAATTTTGATATTTAAAATTTTTTTATTTTAGAATTAAAAATAGGAAGAAAAATTTTCTTTTTATACTTTTATAGTGCAAAAATTTTTAATTAAATATTTAAACTTTTATACTTAAAATTAAGTATTTAATAATTTTGAAAATTTTAAATTTTTCTGGTTTGGGAAAAAAATGATCTTATCTTTTAGAAAAAAAGTTTAAAAAGATGTTTTGTTTTAATCTTAAGTTGATCATATATTATTTTACCTCTTTACTTTGTTTCACGTCTTGATGTTAAGATATAATTTTCTATTTTTAGAATAACATACACATAGTTACTGAATGGATTCCTAATGAAATAAGTTCCACACATATCAGGTAAATATTTATTTTTCCAATTAAATATAGCTTCAAATGTTTTTCATGTTAACAATTATAATTTATAAGTTTTATTCACTCATCTATTATTCTTCATTTTATCATATTTGACTTCCACAGTGGACAAATCCCATGATTTGTCCACTGTGGAAGTCAAGAAGTCACTAGGAGAAATAGTTTTCTCCTAGCCCTAGTGGAGGAAATAGAAGACTACTAAATTAACAAATGATATACTAAATGTATAGCTACCATATTGGTTTTACAATAACAAATAGCATAATAATTTTTCTAATCGAACACTGTTTAAGAATCAATACTAAAAGTCTTAAGAAATATGTTATGTAAATTTTAAAATTTTGTATAAAACTAGGATTAAAATTTTAAAAAAAGAATTTTTTCATAACTTTTTTTTATATTAAATTTATATTATACTTAAAACACTTACTTCTAAGCAACTGTATTGTTTATTTTTAGTTTCTTCCACTTCGCCTAGTTTCATCTGTTTTTTTTCCTTCCATTCTTCTGGAAGATATAGGTTTCTTCCAGGTCAAATGTTAATACAGTCAAACCCCGCTATAGTGAACACTCAGATGTAGTGAACTTTTTTAGCGGTCCCGTCCGTATTCCTATTTAAATAATGTTATTTTTAACGCTTATAGTGAACAGCTTAGAACTTGGTTATAGTGGACTCAAATTTCATTTCTTTAAATATCTTTTTCAGTCCTCCATCTTTAAACTTGTAAGTGTTGGGACTGAAAATGAATGCATTCCTATAAAATGTGTCATATTACTCTCCTTTATGCTTATCACTTTTAACTATCCTGTAATAAATGTCAAACAGATCATTTATCTTATACTCCCCCCTCCCTGACAAACCTCGCTTTATCTCTTTTCCCCAAGCTTGCTCTACAACTAGTTAACTTGGCCACCTGCTGAATTTTTGGAATTTTCTTATCTGTTCAAACCATATTCTTTACAAATCACCCCTTGACAATCAAGAAGGGGAACAATTTAACTCATTCTACAGCTGCTCTCTTCATATTCTTACATAATCTATTTGAGACAAGATTTTTATTTCAAAAGCAGTGAAAATGGCAAATTCTCTAAAGAGAAAAGCGTTTTCGATAGAGGACAAAGTTAAAATTGTAAAGCGTATTGATGATGGAACCAATCAATCGACACTGTGTAAGGAATTTTCCTTTGTCAAAATCTAGAGTTTCAAACATTTGGAAAAATCAAAGTGCAATTCTTGCGGCATACGACAAAAACATGGTTTCATCGAAAAAACTGCAGCTGAAAGAGAAAACGTAGAAGATGCTTTGTCAAGATAGCTCGAAATCTTGTTCAAAATGTAAAAATCTTGCATTCTTTGCACATTGTAGATAAGAAAATTGATGAACTCAATTTAAAATAAAATTATGTTCAATCAAAAATCACAAATTTTTTTCATAAAAAGTGAAAATAAAACTAATATTTAGCGACGTAATTACTTTTTCCATCAATTTTTGCTTTATTATCTGTTAATTAGTTAATAATTTTTTAAATAACTTATTTAAATTGCAAAACCAATTTTCAATCATTCAACTGTCTTATGCAAAAAATATTCTTCAGGATATAGTGAACCATCGGTTATAGTGGACACATTACTGAGTCCGCAGACGGTTCGCTATAGCGGGGTTCGACTGTAACAGAAAATACTATAGAATTTATGGAAATTTTTTTATCTGACGATATACAGTTTTATCATAGATTTTACTTTTATTCTTACCTTTGTAAATGTGTTTGGCATGATTGCATTTTGAGTGTATTTAATATAGTTTAATTACTATGAAACTTATTTTTCTTCATACTGTTCTAATTTTCAATTTATTAGAATTTCTTAAGTATATCTATGAAATTAATTGAGCTGCATGTGTTTTCTCTCTCTCTCTCTTTTTTTTTTTGAAATTTTTTGCTTGAAAAAAAAATCTTATGATTTAAGACACTACGTAAAATGTCAAATATTTGAACAGCTTACTTAATTATTAAAATATACTTATATGGAAAAATATTTTATTTAGATATTCCTTTAGATAGATACTTTTTTTTTTGTGTCTGAAATTTGAGCAAATCAAAATTGAAAACTTTTTACTGCTCTTTTACTTGAAATTAAATACAGTTAACTGAGTTCAGAATCAGAATTTATTTTCTATATACACATATATAGTTATTGTTTGAAACAAGAAGTGAGAAAAAATAGCAAAAAATGCACTTGCAGTTGCAATAACTTTTGAAATTTTATTACAAATTTTAATTTATTAAAAAAAAGAAATCTCTACTCAGTGGTAAGTTCACAAATGAAAATTATCCTTTTAGCATGTTCAGCTTCAACTCCTTAAATGCAAATTTTTCGGGATGCAGACTGTCTCAAGTGGTATTTTTAACAGTTAATAATTCTTATACTAATTCTCAAATGTAATATCTTTTATTCTATTACACACTCTGGGCATTTCTTTGCATGCCTTCACACTTGAAAGCTTTTAATTATAGTCCTTGCGCAGCAGAACGTAATGTAATTTCAAGTTGAACACTCAAAACAATTCTTAATTTAAAGAGAGAATAATATTCTGAAATGCATGCATAAGGAGAAAATGATTTTTGAATGTTCAAAATTTTTTTATTCTATATTTTCTCAAAAATGGTCTTACATTATTTTATTTCGTAGCTTTTTGTTTCGACAGATAATCAAGAGTTTATTTTCTGTATTTTCAAATGTTAAGATAAACTTATATCCTATTTTAAAATTTATCCTGCTTCTTTTTCAGACGAGCTCTTCGAAGGGGATGTAGTGTAAAATACTTAATACCAGACTCTGTTCTCAAATACATTAAAGAGCATGAATTATTTTCTTCTATTAAGTAAGTAGAAACTTTTTATAATGTATGTTTTTACAAATAGTACATAATGCAAATTGTATATAATACATTTTTACGAATAATTTTTAGCAAACATTTTTATTACTAGTAATTTTTTGCAAACTTTAGATCTTTCAAAATAAGTAGGAGATTTTAATTTAAAGACAAGAAAATGTAAAGGTTTTTATTTTTAAAACAATGCATTGCTATCATTTGATTTTACAAAATTGCATTAATGATTACAAAACAAAATGGCATAAAGGAGTAGTATGTTTTTGGATTGCAATGATTTTGTTCTCAAGTTTAATTTTAAAAAGCATCTGATTTAATAAACCAGTGATTTTTTTGTGGGGGTCGCTGTATTTGAATTTCTTTATGTATAAATAACAACTTTTAAAAGATAACAGTAGAAGATGTTATAAAAGAAGTTTTTATATGCAAATTCATTAAAATAATTGGATCTTAAAGTATAAAGAGTGTTATGTAATAAATTTTTTTCCTGTTTTTAATTTAATTCTCAAATATAATGCATATATTTTTCTTTCTTTTCACTCTTTTCATGGATTCTGTAGTAAGTATCATGTTTCTTTTCATGTGAATGATTCAAATTATGAGTACATAAAAGGTTTATGTGATGATATGATTCTGGAACCTGAACAGGAAACTGCTGTTTGAAATACTAAAATGTATAATTAATCGTGAAACAAAATAAGTTTCCTAATTATATATATACAATCATAATGTGTAGTTTACATGACTTGAAAAATTGTTTACATAATTTTATATTTTATAATGAAAAACAATTTATATAATTTACATAATATCATACATATTTTACTTGAAATGCTTACTTTATTTATATTAGTTTTGCGGTGCATACTTGGTACATATTAATCTTTAATACTTTCCAAGCATTGTTTTGTTTACTTGTATAATTTAGGTAATGTAAAGTATTTTAATTAGTTAATGTAACACTTATATTTTGATTAGAAGATTTAAAGAATTAATTTTATATAAGTTTTTAATTTTTTGTGGCAAATCCTATTTTGTTACACCAAATTATGTCATATTTTCTAGATGAGTGTAACATAAATAGCTTTAAAATTTCTTAATTTGATTGTATTAATGTACGGCATGAAAGCTTAATTATTCAAAAGGCTTTTAAAAATATTGTAAAAATGCAGGAAAAATAAATTAATGATTTTCTGCTGATAAACTGATAGAGATTTTAATTTTAAATATTAAAGAATATATATTTTTGTTTGTTTAGATAGATAATTTTTTAAGGTATGCAAATATGTTTATAAAGATAGGTATTGTAATATTGTTTAGAAATTGTGAGCATTCTGTATTATAATTATTCATATGTTGAATTATTGTTTTAAGGGCATTCTTTCTATGAATATTTCATTAATATAATTTGATGTTAATGTACAAGTACTTTCGGAAATAAGTGTAAGCTAACTTAATAAAGCTCTCCTGATTAAATTATTAGGCCTTTATCTTTCTGATTGCTTTACCTCTCTTTATTTTCATGGTAAAAAAACCGAATATGTCAAAAATGATATGCTGATTCATAAATAATTTGTTTTTGTGTATGATTTCATTGCTTATTTAATAATTGACCGTAATTTGCACATATGAGGTCAACTCTTCAAACCAATGAAAAGGCTGTCGACTAATATGCTTTTTACAATAAATTCAAGTTGTTGACAATTAAAAACTAAAGCTTTCAGAATTTTTGGTAATTTTAACAAAATTTAAAAAGCTTTACAACATGGGAGCTTGAACAAAGTGATTTTTCATATAAGCTTTAGAATAATTTACAAATAGTGATATGGAAAATAACTTTAATCAAATTTATGAAACAACAAAAAATACATCGAAACATAAACTTGGACTACCACTGGAAGAAATCTTCCTAAAAAGCATGGAAAGTTGGCAGGCCTGCATTGAGATTCGAAATGAATGAGATTGAAGGAAAATTCGATCGTTAGAACAAAAGTACTCAGTTCAATAATTTAGTTTTTCTTTCTTTTTTCACTGTTCTCTATAATATAATTCCAAAATAAATACTTGCAAAAATCGTAGTTACAAAATTTTGATTAATGAGTGCAAATCTAATGTTTATAAGGTAATTATATTCATCAAACTTATTTAAGAATTCTCTGCACTATCTTTTGTAATATTTTTCTTGTGAAGTTATATTAATTTTGCATTATTTTACTTTTTTTTTTTTAGAACATGATAGCAACTCCTGCTTAATAGATATCCTGAAAACTACATATTGCTGTTCTAAATGTTCCTACATTGTTGAAGATGGCCATATAACTGTGCAATTCTAATTATGTATCATTGTTTTAAAATATTTATATTTATAACGTTGTGTATAAATGTTTTTAATTGGATTTGAAAAAAAATATTAATTTAAATACTGTTTTGTTTTGATTTTAAGAAATGGTGCTGTCTGATCAACTTCAAACTAAAACAGTTGTTAGTTTTAGCATTTTATAGGAATGATTTTTATTCCATTTAGATTTTTATGAGCAAAATTAGCAAGGACTTGCATCTGACATTTTTGTTATGACAATAATTTGCTTTTATTTGTTGATTTTATTTAAAATATATCATTTTAATTACTGTGATATGATGTTAATTCTGTAATGGCAGATTTTTTTGTTAGTGTAATTGCTATTTATTTATCTACTTTGCTGCTTTAAGTGTGTATTGTTGACATGAATAAAAATGAATCTATTTGAAATTGTTTCTTTCATTCAAATTAGTAATCTCATTAGGCCTAAAAAACTTTGGCAGTTTTTGAAATAATTTTTCTATATTCACAATATTCTATTTCAACAGGGTTCCCACGGTCCTTGAGAGTCCTTGAAAGTCCTTGAATTTTTTTTTGCTAAATTTAGGTCCTTGAAAGTGCTTGAAAAACTTGATAGGTCCTTGAATTTGTCCAATACTGCCGGCGGCCCGTTTTATAAAACATCCGCGGATCTTTCTTGTTCTTTCTGTTTTGTTCCCTAACTCTCTCACATGGTTTTTAACGCCACCGTTTCTAACCGGGCCTAGCGTCTTGGTGTCTGCCAAGCGCGCGGAGCACAGCAGACAATCAATGCGTTCGGGGCGAGACTCCACTTCATCTTCTGTCGCATATGCTTAGATCTTCTTTTNCTGTTCAAGCATTTTTATTTTTTCAGGGTGTGTAGCCGAGCTATGTAACAAAAAATAAGCACTTTTCAAGCACTCAAAAAATATTTTGAAGCACTTTAAAAAAATATCATAATTTGGCAGGGCTGGAAAGTTTTTGCAATTGACGGTTTTATCCAGGGCCGAATTAAATTTCGTATATTTTTTATTTATTCAAATATAAAAGTATTTATGTATCTTTTCATTTAAGAAAGCATATTTGAAGTAAAAATAAATAATAAAAAATTAAATTTTTCTTTATTTTGTTAAATTAGAACTAAAAAAATTATCGTATTTTATTAATATATATTTGAAATTGATTTTTTTTTAAATCATTGTTTTTCTTAATTTTTTAAAATTTATTTTCGAAAAATTATTTTTAAGGGGTCCCCAGGCCATGGCCTAGTCTGACCTAATGGGTAATCCAGCCCTGGTTTTATCTTGTTTTAACCGTCATGTAAAAAAAAAATAATGAATGAAAAAAACCTTTTGGCATTGTTTTTGACAATTGTCAAAAATCAGGAAATTTTGACTCGTGCAAAACGAATGGCGTTTTCATGCGCTACGGACTGACAATACGCCGAAATAGATTGGGGTTGAGTGAATTGTGAAAACGTTGAATAGAACAATGTGAACCGTGTCTTTTTGCATAATTCGAAACGAAAATAAACATGGTAAAGAAGAAATCTCATTTTGAAACAGGGAATATCAAGCGCTTTTTAAGAACACCCAATGAAAAAAGCACCTTTAAGGGCTTTTAAAAAAGGAAAATCGAAATAAAGCACTTTTTTTGAAAACGCTATGCACCCTGTTTTTTTAATAAAGCAGTTCAATGAGAACTTGTTTTATTAGCTTTGATTCCTAAATAAAAGGAAATGTTTGTGTTGATTGCATATGTACTCCTGGTTCAGTGACTTATTGTGAAGAAGTGGGGCTCAATTCTCAGTGGCAGCTGGGATGGATAGGTACCAGCTAGTCTGGAAAATGACGATGGACTGTGTGTAATGCTGTCCACATTGCAGCTAACTGGCATGTATGGTGTTCAGGGAGCTGATCCCATGTCAGAAAAATTCCATGTTTGAAACACAACCACAGATATAAATTTTCTTACTTCCTCTTTGTACTATCTGTCCTTTTCACTGGGGGGGGGGGGGAATGNGGGGGGGGGGGGTAATGTTGACATTGGTGTCCCTGAAAGAGTGGCCAACACTTCTGACTTTTAATATGTGGGTAAGTATTGAAAAAAAAATGCTATTGGTCAGAAAATTGTGAAGGTTTAACCACCCTGACCCCCGCTACCTCATAGTTATTGCTGGAATTCTTCACTTTTTATTTTAAGTGGTAGTAAACTTTGCACTTGGATTACTTTATTCAAAATTATTTAGATCATCTTCACTTAAAAACATAAATCTGAAAAGCACAAAGGCAAAATTAAAAAATATTTTTGTCTTCAATTATTATTTAATTTTCACTTCAATCATCAATGTGAATTGGGGAAATCCTCAACTTTCTGAAAGAATTTGAGGACTGATTGTTAAAAACTAGGACACTTTGCATGATAAACTATGCAAACCAGGTTTGGACTTAACCTTGATTAAGTTATAGGTCACTGTGATATCAAGAGGAAATATTATGATTTATTATTCTCGTAACTACCCAAAAATTTTATCTACTCTAACTATATAAAACTGAACTTATTGAATTTGATTATTTAATTCTAGGTAAAAGCTAATTTCAGATTCTTTTCAATAAGAGTTTTTTTAGCTTTAACAATGGGAAAAAAAATTAAAAACCGGGATCAATTTTGCTACAAATCTGACTATTTCTTAGTTTCAGCTTTAATAGGAAAAAAAAATTCAGAGTCGAAAGATACATTAACCATAAGCAATGAAACTATTCTGGTAGGTAAAAATATAATAAATTTTCTAGCTTAATGTTTCTACCACATTTGAAGCTTTGCTTGGTGTTTACAAACCCTGATTAATGCAACACCCACTCCATTGTTTCATTAATGTAGTTTCAAAAGCTAGTCAAACAGGGCTAGTTATTTCTGGCAGAAATAAGCAAACTTAAAAGCAATTTTTTGAAAAATGCAAAAAATATTTTTAAGGCAATTATTTATAATATTAATTTTATTTTAAATTATTTTTTTATGCGTGAAAGAAACTTATATGAAAATGTGTTGGTTTTGTAATAAAATTCATAAAAAACAATGTGTGTATGTATATTGATATTTTGCCCCCCAAACCAATGAATATTTTTCATTTTTGCATTCGCTACATAGAAATGAAAACTGATATCAAGCAAGTGAGCAGTCAGAGATAAATTATTCTAACTTTACTTTATTATTTCTTCCTTACATCTTATTTCTCGTGTAAGGAGGAAAATAAACTGAAATCAATTGATTTGAAATGTAGAGTCAAAAACCAATCGCTCTTATAAACTGTACAGACTGAGCTTGCTTTTAATAAGCCTGACACTAATCCACCACCAAGGAACAAACTAAAATTACAGGCTTTTACGGTGATAAATTGGCGAATAAATTTTAACTGCTCTTGTGACGAATATAAATAGAAAAATCAGATAGATTTAGTTTCTGGATTCTCTTTGTTTTTTAAATTGAGGAATGGAAAAGCTAAAATACTCTTACTTATAGCTTTTTATTTACATTTGACAGTATAATTTATTTAATTGAAAAAAACGTATAATGATATTATTATAGTAAAATGAAGAATAAAAAATTATTAAAAGGGAAGAAAATAAAAAAATATTATAAGGGAATAGTAAGTATATAAGGGAATAGCATATAATATGGGACTGAAAATTCAGTGCATGACTCAGAAGAGTGGAGTGGAGGCCATTAAACACTGACTCTCCCATCAAATATAAATAAGAATTTAGGAACAATTATTTACTATTGATTTTTTTAAAAAAGAGAGAGATTGTTTTTTAATTTTTTCAAGAATATTTCATTTTGAAATGCTCAAAAACCATCTTAATTATAGCAAACAAATCAATTATCAGAGAAGGTGAATTGAAACAAGGGTGAGTTTCTATCTATTTTTAAGTCCATAAGATGGCAGCACAAATAATGTTTATGGCTCAATTCTCTACGCAAGCCATAAGCTAACAATATATGACATATACCTGTCCTTGAAGTTATTAAATAAGAGCTGGCATCATGTAATATGATAATTGTGATTGGCTAGTTCCGATGCTCCCTACTTTTTTCTTTGTTTCGGACCACAAATGTAAAGGCACAGGTTTTGACAAATTTAAACGTCGTGTTTATCCGACAAACCTTTACAAAAGTATGATTTTTTTGGCTTTATCTTTTGAAGCTTCTTATTCTATTAAGGCTTATTTGTTTATGCGTCATTTATTTCCGAATATTTAGTTTATATGATACAATGTGTATTGATAAGTTTATGATATTCTTAAGCCCTGTTACAGAATCACGGCGACATTCTTCCTGACAGAATTTTCCATTAGGAAGTAAAAAAAAAATTGGTTTATTTTTCTTCAGAAATATTCAGAATTTCTTTTTTTCTGAAATTATATTTAAAAGATGCCTTTTTCGCACATCGGACGGGAAAGAAATGTTCGTGATCTTCCATTCTTATTTGAGAACAAATAAGGAATAATGAAATAAAAAAAAATGTTAGTGTGGACATCAAAAGATTTTTATTCGAAGGATCAAAAGGATGTCAAAAGATGTATTTTCCAAAGATTTTTATTCTGAAGAATTATTATATAACAGCGTATATTGTAAAACAAAACTTTGTACATTTGTCATAAGTTTCTTTTCGCGGGAGTCGGATGTTAAAGAAATGCTCTTGATTCTTAGATTCCTATTAAAGAATAAAAAAAAAATTCGATAATATCCCCTCGATAATGACTGGTTTCAGTTAAAATTTCTATTACCAAATATAAGAAGAAAAAAAAAACCGAAATCGCGAAAGTTGGAAAGATTGTTTCGTTTTAGAAATCATGTTTTTTCATTCATATATATTTATATTTTAAAGTACACCGTATTTAACATTTTAATAAAATTAATCTGAATGAGGATTTTATTATAAATTCAGATTTGTAGAAAAATAATATTCTACTTTGTTTTTTATTTGGTGGAAATACAATCAATCCAATATATTTTCTAAAAATAATTACACACATAAAAATTTTAAATCCTGCATATCCTTGAGTATTCACTTTTTTGCTCACAACTTGCGCCGATTATCTCGTAAATATATGTTTTGTTTTAATTATTTTTATGGTAATTATTGCTCTGAAGTTTTGCTTTGTTTTTTTTTGAAAATTGTGATGTCTTTCATTGCTCAGTTGTTATTACAGTGTGGAAACATACAGATATTATTACGGCACGTGAAATTCAAATTGTGGATATAAGGTATTCTTTGACACGCTTATTTATTGCCAATATTCTCATTAATTCATGCAGTTTTTCAATTGATCTTTTGATAGTTCATTGGTACGAATTTTCACATTTTTAAAAAAAAACTAATCTTGATGATTTTTATAAAGTTTAATTATATGCGAAACTTAATTCAATACCTTATCGTTTTTTTGACTCTTTAATGAATTTTTTGACTCCTACTGAATTACACAGTTTTTAAAATTCTGGCAATTTCTCAGTTGATATTATTTCAACACATATAATTTAAATTTCACATTTAAATAAACAATTTTTGACACACTTGCTTTATACCAGTACTATCTTAAATCCACGTGTTTCGATTGTATTTTTGGCAGAAATACGATGGAAAAAATCGATGCAAAAAAAGATTGAAAGTTTTATGTCGATAGTAAAAGATGTATGGTTGATTGGTTTTAGTAAACTCAAATTTTTTTTCATTTGATTCTAGTTTATAATTCTTGAAGATATATTTCAATATTTAGTTAATTTTGCATTAGTAAATCAAGCAAATTTTTTAAAGTATTAGTATACAAAAAACAGTAGTTTCACAAAATACTTTTTCTTAGAATTTTATTTTTGTATCTCATAGGAAACGATAAATCCATATTTTTGTGCTGATTTTTTATATAATTTTTAATTTTCACAAAATAGGTACCTAGACAGACCCTGAATATAGCTTTTTTTTATTTTTTCAGAATTTCTGAGAACATCCACATGAAATGTGCATCTTTAACAAATTAAGTTAAATGCTTTTATATCTTTTAACACACTCACGCCGGGGTGACCCACCAGTGGGTCACGCCAGATTGTCTCATCGGGCGGAGCACCGGAGTAAAAACTGGAAACAAATAAATTTAATTTTTTAGTTTTTTTCCGGGAATAATAAAAATCCATGACTACCAATCGTTTTTAACGGAAGCAATTTTTATATTGAATTTCTTCTTCGCCGTGATAAATTTACTTACAGTGAATTGTTATTGTTGAGAATAGATTAACTCTTCCCGAATACTATCTAATATTGAAATAGTTCTTCTACCAGTATTTTCTCTTTTCCGTCCCGCTTTCAGACGCAACACCGGCGTGAACGTGTTAAATTAGATTTTTATTACACATCCTATTTTATAAGTGTCAGCATCTATCTATGTAATAGTGGCAGTCTTGCGAGCAGGACAAACAGGCACATGATTTTAAAAAGAGCAAATTAATTGTTTTTATTTACTCATCATTATGAGAGAATGACTGTCCAAGTGACACGAAATCACTGTGCTCCTCAACAAAAGTTAGGGAAAATCTTGCAAAATAAATCCGTAAAATGTTATGTATTACAGATTAAGGGAAATCTTAGGTATTATAATTGGTCTGTTAAAATATGTCCCGGGATTCTCACAAGTTAGAAAGAGGGAAAACTTTAGAATGTTCATCATATAATGCATACTTGAACTAAAAATAGATTATAGGACAGGATGTGGATATTAATGTGTGAGAAAGAGCTTTTCGATTTGAATAATAAATTAAGAAAAGGATTTATAGAAAATTAAAAAGATGAAGCTTTATATGTGTGTATATATATGGATTATTTTATGTTATTAAACTATCAATATTGAAAAAATATATTTAACATAACAGAGTGATGACTTTAACAACTACTATATGCATCTAGAAATTATTTTTGTGACTATTTTTTATATTTGAAGCTGCTAAAAGGATTATGATCCCAGTTTGAACTCTGTTCTAAGATTATCATATCAATATTAGCTTTTATCTTATCTTATCAATCTTATTTTTCAAATACTAAAATATTTTAATATTATTTATTTTTCAGTTCATGATGTCTGCTGACGATTCTGTTCAAGAGGTTGGCTCCTCCCAAGAGCTGCCTCTGTCCCAAGAGACTTTTCTATATGGTTGGAACAAGTAAGTTGAAATTTCCTTTTTTTTATATTTTTAAATCCCCTTCAGTGTTTTCATCATAGAAAAAAAATGGGTGAGAATTTCTCACCCTTTCTCAAAAACAGGGTGAGATTTCAGAAAGTTAAGTGAGATTTCCAAAAACTTAAAAAACACAAATAGACTTGGAAAAAAAATCATTTCTTTTATTATAATACATTTTTAACGTCTTCTATTTTTTAAAGCATTGAATATTCTTGCTGCATCATCATAGAAGATTTTGCCTTTACTAGGTATTTGTCCATCTTACATTAGTGTATAAAAAATTTGAACGTCTTACATGAAAAAACCTTACCTACGGTAAAAACGTGATTGCAGAGAAATGTGTTCTGAAAGGGGTTCCGTGGTTCGGTTGTGTTCTGTTGTTCGAAAAGGTTCTGAACAATACTGGTAAATAGGGAAGCTAGATAACGGAGCAAATGTTGAAAATAATGAGAGATCCAGGAAGAAAAGTGAAACGGATTTTATTCTAAATAGCGTAATTCGAAGCTTCTTCCAAAATGCGAGAAATTCGCGAATTTTGAAATTGATTTATAGAATGCGCGAATTTCTCGCAGTAATAATTTTTTAATGCGAGAAAAGAAAAAAATATGCGAGATTCTCGCGTTCTCGCGCTGTAGTGAAAACACTGCCCTTTTAAGATCACGGTGTTGACATTTGCTCAACAGCATGTCTAAAACTCTGCAGGGTGGGTAGCGTTTTAAAAAGGTACTTACTTTCTTTTTTTAAAGCCCTTAAGAGCAGGAATCTGAGAAACTGTCACACCTGATATTATGGGGTGATAGTGCTCCGGAAAAAATTCGGATTTTTCGCTAATCGCAATCAAAAAGTTTCCAGAAATCGTCAATCACATTTATCAGGGGTCTGTCTAGGTATTTCTGAGAGGTACCTATTTTGTGAAAATTTCGACATAATTTGTGAAAAATTAAAAATTATATTAAAAAATCAACACAAAAATATGGTCAAAATATGGATTTATCGTTTCCTAAGGGATGCAAAAATAAAATTTTAAGAAAAAGTATTTTGTGAAACTACCGTTTTTCCTAAAGTTGAATTTGTGAAACTACCGTTCTTCCTAAAATTGAATTTGTGAAGGTACCGCTAAACGGTAGTAAATTAGGCCTGGACAGACCCCTGTTTATATATAAAAATTCTTGTAAATTTTATATAAAAATATTAGTGCTAGAATTTATACTTGGCATCACTTTTATTTGTAAATATTTTTTCTGGTAGAATAAATGTGATTAGAGATAAAAGAAAACTTGCACATAATTGTTCATTTAAATTATGCTGCATATAATTCATTTAGAATATCATGGTTTGAAAATTTCAATGATTTAAATTTATAAAGATATTAATTTTTTGAATAATTTTACTCAAGAAATTTTCAGGATTTTTGAGTTGGGGCCCCGCAATCACCCACTGTTCATGCCATCTCAGATTTCCTCCAAAAAATTCCTCTGTAAAAAGACAAGATCTAAAATTTTTTGCCCAAAGTTGAGTTGTTCATTTTTTATGGCCCCCCATAAACTCAGTGTTGCAGGAAAATTTCAGCATTTTTGCACTATGTGTGTGGAAATTGCAATGACTCACAGCTCTTAGCGCAAACAAAGTGCCACCAAGTAATTTAAATATCTTAAAAGTAAGAATGTTGGACTTGGTAAAATGGGTGAAAAGGCAAGTTATTATCACAAGGTCACTAAAGGTTGTAAAAAGAAATGTTTTTGGTGTATTTTTTTTACAATTTTTAACAATTAACTATAGCTTGCGCCTTCTAGTTGCCACAAATTAAAGATATACAAAAACACTTTCGAAAATTATTTATATAATTGAGGCATATTTTCGAAAATTATTTATATAATTGAAGCATATTTAATGCATTCTTAATTATATGGAGTTGAAACTTGAAAATTTTCAAATTTTACCAATATTTTAACTGTTATAACTTTTTGTGGCGTAAATATATTTAAATATTTTTTTACCTTTATTTTACTCCATTTTTAGTCAATCTAAAAAAGTAAAACTAATTGAAGCATGTAGCTTTAAAAAAATTAAATTTTTTTTTACTACTCCCTGTTTTGGTAGCTTCTTTCTCGAAGCAACTTATTCGAACACTTTACTATCTATATACAGTTCACCTTGAAAACCGATATTTTTTAGCATTTTATTGTATTTAATCTTGTTGGTTATCCATTTAAAGTAATATTTTATTATCATTGGCGTTTAGAATTTGTATAAAACAGAAATACATAAAGGTAATGCTGTAAAACATTTGTTTTGTAGCTACAAAATGCGTGTGAATTATTTATTTAGTGCAATTATTTTATTACGATTCTCAAGGGTCCCGAAAAATACACAAAATTGAGTTATTGAAAGTAAAAAAAAGATGGTGTGGGAACCGTCAAAAAGAAATGAATGCTTTTGAATTCGTGAAAAATTTTATTGTATTCTTAACGAGTAAAAAAAAAGGTTAAGATATCTGATTATTTTTCATTAAAATAATGCAAGTTTTTCTTCTTTGCTAAATAAAGTAGATTTAGGTTTCAGGTAGCATTAGAGCTTTCAACGAAATGTTAAATTTGTATATTTTTAAATTTTCATTTCATATAGTAGCGTCTTGTTATATTCGAGGATTTTGTCCAATCTGATGAGCATCATTATCAGGGGTCTGTCTAGGTTTTTCTGAGAGGTACCTATTTTGTGAAATTTTAGAATTAATTTGTGAAAAATTTAAAATTATATTAAAAATCAACACAAAAATATGGTAAAAATATGAATTTATCGTTTCTTAAGGGATGCAAAAATAAAATTTTAAGAAAAAGTATTTTGTGAAAGTACCGTTTTTCCTAAAGTTGAATTTGTGAAGGTACCGCTAAACGGTAGTAAATTCGGCCTGGGCAGACCCTTGATTATATGCATTTATTTTTTTAATTTCTAAATTTTTCTTTTGATAAATGCTTAAGAATATTATTTTAAAGTTAAAAAATACCTTTCAAAAAGAAATGAAATAAACAAGTTTCCAAAATTCCTTTAAGAATTTCTTGAAAAATTAAATATTTAATTCAGTGGGAAAAAGCTTTCATCTTAGGATGTATAACTTAATGTGATTTAATAATTTGTATAAAAATTACTATTGTTTATTACGAACATATATGTAAAAAAAATCCTATAAAATATAGAAAAAAATTTCATTGGTGTTATAGGCTTGATTTTTTTCATGTTTTGTTGAATAATTAATTAGTAGCTTTGTGGTATAAAATCGCTGCTCTGTATAGTAACTGTGTTTGCTGTTAGAAAATTTATTTAGAGTTTCGGATGTGTGTATTACGCAATATATCTCTACCATTGGATGCTCCAGCCAGTAAGAATAAACAATCAATATGTGCTTATATATTTATTAACAAAACGTAACAATGAAATTAACAATTAGACTGAAAACGAAAACAACAAAACATGACAAATAAAAAAACAACAGGAGCTTCCAAGAGGTGCTCTCTCCGGCGTAAGTGTATCCAGAACAACTAACAAAAATTATTTTGATTGGCGACAGATTGGCTCCGCCGAAAAGAATTAATTCGTATCATACGTTCATCAAAATTGTTAAGAATACAATATAGTATACCATTAAAAAAAAAGTTCGATTAAAGATAATTTTCAATTACAATATTTCAAATTGCAAATAAATTCTATTAAATTTAGAAAATCTTAACCCTAATTAATTTTGAAGCGAATTATTAAATTATTCATTATATTCACACAATTATTCAATATAGACTATAATATTCAAAAAGTTTTGTAACATCAACATTCAAATTTTAGATCTTAATTCAAAAATACAACAAAACAAATCTTAATTTTATGCTCTAATTGTAAACATAAAACTTTTAAAAAAATAAAATTTTTAGGTGAAATTTCCGCACAAATTCTGAATAATATTCTAGAGAACAATATTAAACATTCAAGATAATAAAACCCTTTTTTCATATACAAATGCGAGAATAATAATATATATATATAAGAATAATGAAGTAGTAATCAAATATCTAAATTTCACTGCATATTCAGTTCAGAAATATAACCAGTAAATTTCAATGTAAGTTATCAAGAAAAATATTGTTTAACAAACAACATTTAATACACTAAATCAAGAAATTATTAGTTAAAACATTTGCATTAACTAAATATTATACAATTTAAAAAATGCAATTCTAGATATTTATTTATAAAAATTTTTTTTTTAAAACACATCAATAACATTATGATATGCCAATTAATTATTTCAAATGATATTTTTAATAAATTTGAACTTTAGTTTGCAAATTGTACAGGGCGTTTAATAACTGAAGATTCAGTTTTTACCTTGCAAGCCCTCACCTTGCCATCTCTTCCAGGAAACAATTGAATTATTCTACCTAATTTCTAGGTAAATGATCTTCTTTAATTAAAACAATATCGTTAATCTTAAATGGAGGGATATTACTCTTGCCTTAACTAAATTTGAATTAATATATCTTAAATTTGTAAGATATTCATTTTTCCAACAAGACCAAAAATTTCTCATTAATAGTAAGGTCTAATTAGGTTTTTTCTAGAAGAGAGGTTTGTATCAAGGTGAAGTCTTACCGGGGGTAAAGATGTTATTCTTTTACCTAAAAGAAAGTGAGCCGGTGTTAAGACATTTGGCTCTTCTGCATCACTTCCAACATAAGTTATTGGGCCAGAATTTATCATTGCCTCAATTTCGAAAAGAACAATAAGCAATTGTTTAATAGTCAAGGAGGATTTACCTAGGGATTTCCGAAGAGCAACTTGTACAGATCTAGCCATGCGTTCGTAAAAACCGCCCCACTAGGCATCTGTCTCAACGATGTATTTCCATTTAATACAATTATAGGCACAAAATACTTTTATCTTTCTATCATTCAAAATTGACCTCATCAATTTTATTTCCAATTCAGCACGTTTAA